CTGAACACCTCTGGTGGCTGGAGTGTGATGGCCAGAGAGCCTTGGGAAGGGTCAGACTGGGAAGTTTCCCAAATATCCTCTTCTGTAAGCTGGCTGCAGAAAGCAGGGTCCTGCTGACCCTTCCAACAATGCCACCTGTCCCTCCTGAGCACATCCATCAGAGCAGCAGGGATGAGGTGAAGGCAGAAACAGGGACTGCTCAGGAGTGAGGAAAAGCCTGCTCAGGGCACCTCTCCCTCTTTCTTGCACTCCGTTTCCCTGGGCTGTCTGCTCCTTGTGACTTTCTGTTTTCTTTGGCCGTGTTCCAGAGAAGGAGGAGGACCTGGACTGAATTAAGGAGCTCCTTGCCAAAGCTGCTGCATGTCAAGAAAGCTTTCCTGGTGTTCAAGGGGAGGATAGACCTGGGTGAGGAAAAGAGCTCCACTGAGGATTAGAAATAGAGAAATGCCAGCAGGAACCCAAGAGAAGTCACAGCCCCAGGGCGCCTATGGCTGTCCCACAGGTCGATCTGAAAGCATCAGACAGGAAATGCAAGGGGTGCTTTCCCAGGATTGAACCCTGCTCCATCTCCTCCTTTTTGCTCTGGTCTGAAAGGAGGGAAAGCATAGAAATGGCATAAAATGCTCAGAGTTTGAGGGGTTTTCTCCTGAAAGCAGAGCAATAGCAAGATGGCTTCTCAAACAGTAACACTGAGGAGATGATGTGCACATGGAGCTGTCCTGGATGTGCCTCTGCCATTGATAACTGATGAACACAGACATTAGCTCAGACCATCTCTCATGGAAAGATGGTTGTGCTTCCAGGAATGGGTCACCCCACTTCTCATAGTCAGAGACAATTTGTTCTCTCTGTCTCTGTCTCATATTTAGAATGAGCCCTGAGAACTGCTTTAGACAGAAAAAATATTTTATACAGGGCCATAGCTGCAATCCTGAGCTAAAGTTGGAGCTTGGAGGGGGAAAAATTAAGGGGGAAAGACAGGAGAGGGGAGGAGAAGGAAAAACAAAATGAAGGGGAGGGGGAGAGGAGAAAGAAAAAGTATGGCCAGAAAAAAAAAAAAAAAAAGAGAAAAGGAAGAAACTTTTACTTCTGCATTGCCAGTGATGGCTCTTTCACCCAGAGACCAACAGAGTCTGGTCTGCCAACAGAGGCCCAATAAATTAGACTTTTTGAATTATGCATTGAATCAAATACAACATTAGTACCAGTATTTGAGCTAAAGCCTGGAGGATTGTACAAGTGGTGGTGAAATCTCATTATGCATTGTCTGGGGTGCTAAGGTGAGCTACTGTTTTCATTTTTATAATTTGTAGTATTAAGTTATACTCACTCCATGAAATAATTATTCATTATATATTCAGACTAAAAATTTTTCTAATCAGCCAAGATGAAAGAAACAAACAAATCTTCCATAATGTATTCATGGCATTCAGGCTGTGCCTAATCAATATGCTACTTACTTTTTACTTTTCTCCCATTTAATGTGTAGCAAAAGTCACAGCAACAATTTTTGGTGTCAGACAAAATAACTATTAAATAAATAAGTAAGGCCTGAATTGATGATTTTTTCTCTTTGTCTGTAGACAGTGGGTGGGAAGGGACAATGGACTTTGAATGGGAATTCTATGAAATATTAACTTTGTGGTCTCCCTCCAACCCTTCCTGACTTCCCCCACTCTCTGCAGCACAGCAGGGCCTTGATGAGACAAAGACACTGAAAGCCCTGGGGGCCCTGGAGGGCAGCAGGGCTCCTTCAGGCCTCAGCAAAGCCCAGTGAAGGCCCCAGGATGGTCCAGGGAGCTTTTCACACTCAATCCCCTGTGGCAGAACTGGACTCAGCACTTGAGGGCCCTCAGCAGTGCCCAGCCCAGGGATGGTCACTGCCCGGGAAGCCTTGAGAGGAGTGGGTGGCACTGCTGTGCATGGCCAACAGTGATTGCACTGGCCTTGCCCACAGGGGCGGCTGCAGATTGCTGATTGCTCTGCTGCAGACAGCTCTGTTTGGGCAGGGTCACACTTTTGTTGTTGGCTTTGTTGCTGCAGACACCGATATTCTTAAGGAAATCCCACCAGGACTGAAGGACAGCTGGAGGAGGATTGCCACCCCAGTGACCCCAGGGCAGTGGTTCCTGAGTGCCACAGGCCCCTGTGGCTGGGCAGGTGTGGTGTGAATGTGCTGGGCCGGGGGGTCAGCCCTTCCCCTGGCTGGGCTCCTGCTCACACAGCCGCGGGTGCTGCTGCCTTGCTTGGCTGCTGGCCCGTGTGCTCCACCTCCCAGTGCTGCCTTTTCACCGGGAGCTCGCTCAGTTCAGCCGAGAGCCTCAGGAGAGGCGTGCTTTACTCCTGGCTCTTGGAGAGACCATTCCTGCCCCCTCTCAGATTTCCTGACAGGCATTTACGGGAAATCAGCGTCAAACCGAGAAAGGAGCCGCTGGGGGAGAGGAAGGAGCCCGTGGGGCGGGAAACCTCTGGAGCTGCTGGCCCGGCCACCACCTGGTTCAGCCCATCAAAGCCGCCTCCTCTGGAGCTCTGTGCTCTGGTGCCGGCCTCAGTCCCTGCCTCTCGGTGCCTGGACCCCGCTATTTCCCGGCTGTGACAGCCCAGGCTGGCACTGAGGAGCTCATCCCTGGCCAGCCCTTCCCTGTGGGGCAGGAGCAGCTCCCCGTGAGCACCCCCCATTCACCCGCCACGCAGCTCTGCTGAGCCATCGCTCCCGGATCCCCGCGCTGCTGGAGCCCTTTGCTTTGCCTGGCCATGGATGCCAGGGCAGCTGCCATTCCCATGGGAACCTGCTCGCTGGCCTGGAGACCCTCCAGGCTGCCCCCAGAGCTCTTCCGCCCACTCTCCCTGATGATCAGGGGGTTTCTGAGCTGCCAAGGCAGCGTCCCCCCTTTCTGACCCTCCACTGCTCACTCACACAATTCAGCCTTTGCCCATCCTGTTGAGGCTCTCCAGGTATCCCAACTGCCCTTCACACCTCCCATCCTCATCCTCCCTGACCCTCCTCTGGCAGAGCCTCTCCAGTTCCACTGCATTCCACCAGCACTCAGGCACAGCCTTCCAAACCACCTAGGGATGGGTTTGGCTCCGAAAAATAGATGTAGGCAGCTTCTGAGATCAAAACAAGCAATTTTGGGTTCTCAGGGGTTCAGAAACTCCCATTAAGGAGCATTTGGGCTAAGAAACTGCAAGTTTGGGATCCCTGGGACTCAGTGATTTAGAGAGCTTTGGAGTCCCAAACACTGATTTAGAGAGATTTTGGGCTCTGAACAAACCCAAACTTCAGGCAGCACTGGGGTTGAGAAACACCAATTTAGGGACTTGCTGGCCTACAAAATCCTGATTTGGGGAGTTCAAGCCTGAGAAAAAAACACATCGGGAGATCTGGAAATCAGGGAGATTGATTTGGGGATATTTTCAGATCAGCAAGAACAATTTAGAGAGCTTTTGGGCTCTAAAGAACCAATTTAAACCGATTTTGGGCTCTGTAGTCCCCATTTAGGAAGCTTTGGAGCTCCAAAGCAGCGACTTCAGGAACTTTTGGGCTGAGAAGCATCAATTTCAGGAGCAGAAGGAGAGGGGGGCTGGCACCTACCTGGGACAAGGCTGGGCAGAAGCCGCTCCGTGCTGGGGTGTGAGTACCGGGGGCTCCTCATCCTGGTTATATCTCACCCTGCCTACCCCCGTTCCCACCCCCACGGGCTCCTCCCTCTCCCTCCACAGTTCCTTTCTCGGTTTTACACTAATTTCTCGTAAATCAGTTCTCAGCCTGGAAAGGGAAAGTGAAAAATGCCCCGACTGGGGGCGGTTCCTTGGCTGGGGTGGGAAATGTGCGCAGCCAGCGGCCCCTCCGTGCTCCTGGAGCCTCCGAGGGCACCGGGAATGCCCCGGGAGGGCACCGGGAGCGCTGGGATGAACCCCAGGGGCTGATGGCAGACAGGGCACAGGGCTCAAGTTAGTGGCGTCAGAGCTCTGGAACACTGATTTTGGGAACTTCGTAGCTTAGAAATCTAATCTATTTCAGCAGCTTCGGGGCCATAACGGCGATTTCAGGAGCTCTGGAACCGAGAAAGTGCAATTTTGGGGGCTTTGGGGCTCCAAAACACCGATTTTGGGAGGTTTCTAACTCTGGAAAAATAAAAATTTAAAAAATAGGGAGCATCAAGTCTCAAAGAAAGCAATTTAGGGATATTTTGAGCTCAGAAACAACAATTTAGACAGATTTTGGGCTTAGAAACACCCATTTAAGGATATTTTGGTGTTTGAAACACCTATTTAGGGAGCTGAGAAACACTCATTAAGGGAGGATTTGAGCTCAGAAATATCAAATTAAAGAGTTTTTGACCTCCCAAAACAAAAACCTATTTAGGGCATTTCTCACAGGGAGTGTTTTGCTCACGAGGGCTGGAATACAAGTATGGGGAGGTCTGGCAGACTGACTATATGCCAAACCCACCCCGGCAAGTGCCACGTGCCTGTGGTGGTGAGAACAACCACTGGATGACTGCGGACAGACCCTGTGTCCAATGTCACTGCCTGGGACACTGTCCTGGGATTCGAAACGAGTGCTATGGGCACACTGTGCCCCATGAAAGAATTTAATGAGACAATGGTACTCATTGCCAAAACAACCTTACAGACACCTGGCCAAGAAGAAGGCACTGAGTAGATTTATGATATCCGCTGTGATGGACCAGCCTCTGGAATGATGGAATAGGCTGGTGACGATGACAGCGAGCAATGGGTCCTTTCGGGACTACAGCGCCCATCATGCACCACGGCACCCACTGAGCGCCATTGCAGCCGAGACTCTGCGCACCGTAGAGCGTCTTTATAGCCGGGCCACCATCTCCAACATGCCCCGCGACCCCAGAGCTCCAGCATAACCCAGTTCCACCCCTACTAGTCCCGTCACGTTCTGTGCCCCAAAGGGACCCATAATGGCTCCCCATATGCCCCTCAAGGGCTTTCCAGCACCAGAGAATCCCTGCAGATGTCACCTTCTCCTTCTTCTTCTTCTTTATGGGGTCCATCTCAAAACAGCGCCAGATCCGCAGTGTTTCATCAGCAGCTGCTGAGGCCACTGCTGTACCATCAGGGCTCATGGTCAGGTTCAAGATTCTATCAGTATGACCTGAGGAGGAGAAGGAATGTGCAATCAGGGCTGAGCTGATCAGCACATGCACATTTACTCCTGTATGTTCCCATGAGCCCTGCCAGCTTGCATAGCTGTCTCCCCACTGGCTGTGGCAGCATGATTTCAGACCCCAAGCATACACTTGGATCAATGGTAACTCTTCCACAGCCCCGTGGGCATGCCTTACTCCTAGCAGCATGGCCCCGGATACTGTCCTGTATCAGTGATGCTGCAGGCTCCAACCAAGGAGTGCAGCTGTCTTCAACCTCTAACAGCCCACCCCCCACCCAGGCTCTGTCCACCTACCTTGCAGCTCTGCAACCTTGGTCATTGTTGGATACTTCCATATAACCAGCTGGTTCTGTGCAAAGCCATGGCCTGAAATGAGCTCCTTGTAGTTTGTTGACCATAGGATAGAAGAGACCTGCAAAGAGGCAGTAACACAGGTGAGACAAGGTGCATGTGCTGATGCTCACCACTCAGAGGCGAGCATGGTCCCCCCTCCTTCCCTGTGCCTCTGGGCCTGAGGAGCCAGCAGCTCTGTGGAGGTGTGCTGCCAGAAGGTGTTTGTCTCCAAGCTGATGTTCATCTCTCACCTGGGAACGGGTATCAACAGCACTGAGGCAGGCGCCAGAACACACGTTCCAGATGCGGATATGTCTGTCACTAGTGCCACCTCCAGTGGCTAGAACATTCATCTGCCATGGGCACCACGCCACAGCCTGAGAGAGGAAAGTTCATTTTAAAACATACAAGAGGCAACCTGCACCCAGCCAGTGCTGCATGCCTGCCTTGCACACACATATCCGCCCGTGGCAGCTCTGTGCTCACCTTGACAGCACCCTGGTGCTGAGTGAAGGTCTGTACAGGAGAAAAGTCGCCATCCCCACCTTGGGTGCATGGCCAGACGTTCGCCAGACTGTCATTGCCACCACTGGCCAGGTAGCGGCCATCCAGAGGCCATTTGAGTCCGCACACCTCGTGTGTGTGGCCAGCAAGGGTGGCCACGTGATGCTCAGCCACTCGGACATCGTGGTGATGGATGTGCCCAGTCCGTGCACCACTGCAGAGAGAAGAAGAAGGCTTGCAGGGTCAGGCTGCACATTTTCACCCAAATCCATTTTTGTTGTTGCAAGACTGCTATACCTGCCACTGGGTTTCAACCAGTGTTACCAGCAACACAGGTCTGTTGGTGTGAGTGAAACACCCACACAAGCTCTTGACAACTTCAGCACAAATTGCAATGCAGGAAAGAGGCCTTCTCCTCACAGCCCCAACAGATAAGGCTGAGTAAGAATCCCAAGCCAGGACAAACTTCTCTCTGCCATCCCTAACCCATGCCACACATAGATTGAGGGATAGAAGTTTGCAACAGCTGGAAACTGCCCTTGACCCACTGCTTTACCTGGAGAGGATGTAGCTGTTCCAGCTGAGGGTTCCCACACGGACACAATGGCTGGTAATGGTTCGGAGACGTTTCTGCTGCTCAACGTCCCATAGCTGCAGAGGCAAAGCAAAAAGTTCTACAGAAGAAACCCAATCCTGTTTCTATGCCCTAGGAACCTCACTGCACAGGCTCTGGCATTCAGCTTTCTCAGTAAGGGAACAGAGAAAGTGTGTATCTCTTGACTATAGCACAGAAGGTAACGCTACTTATCAGAAAACCCCCAAACCAAACCCTGCCTTGCACACTGGGCAGTTCCACCCCACACCAGGGAAGACAAGTCAGGTGCATGGCATCCTTCCTCTGTCAGCCAAGGTTTTGTCCCCAGTTCTGTCAATCCCTAGAAAACACCTCTAGTTCTGCTCCTGCATTCACCTGAACCTCAGCACTACTTGTGCCAACAGCAAGGTAGTCTCCATCTTTAATCCATGACACAGAGGAAATGTAAACATCTGGATGCTCCATCTGCAGCAGGGGGATAATCTCCCTAGTAGCGTGATTCCACAGATAAACAGTGTTGTCCAGAGCCACTGCCAGGAAGTTCTGGGAGCTCCAGTCTATGAGATTCAGATCTACAATTTGAAAGAGCAATGCAGGTCACACCATGCTTGGCTAGAGAGCCCTGCCCTTCACCGGTGCTGCTGCAGCAGGTGTGGGTGCACATGTGCACACACACACGTACAGGTGAGGGGCAGCCTTCTGAGTGTCACTATGCCCAGCTGCTGGGGCCAGGTACCCTGCTCCAAGGCATCTGCACAGTGCCCTAGACCACTGTCCCTGTAAGGCCACACAGGGACACTCCAGAAGTGGTCTGTGCTAGCCTGGGTACACAAAATACAGACAGCCCAGTTACACTGTCCTAGGAACAGCAATCCAGTGCAGAATGTTCTGGATGCCCAGCACTCAACCCTGTAGCCTACTTGCAGTAGTTGTCGCAGATCTCTGGTGCATCCAAGACCCAGTCTGACTTTGAGGGAATATATCTGCTCTTCTTCCTGCTGAATCCAGGTGCCATTTTCTGACTGTAGAGTATGTTCAGGTTATTCTGATAGCCTGTGTGCAGGGGAACAGGTTGGTTAACCTGAGTTAGTTTCCTCCCAGCTGAGTGCTGCTCACCCAACTAGGAATCCCTTGGAGTGAAAATAAAGTCCTAAGAGAAACACTCACAAGCCTGCAGTGCACTAAAATCACTGGCAGTATGAACTGCTGAACAGGGTGAGCTACAATTTCCTCATTCATGGAAACAAATTTAATAAACACTTGGGTTTTTGAATCCCATTATATTTAGTTGCAGTTTAAACTAGAAAGTGCACAGCAGAGAGTTTGATGCTCTTACAGACTTCATGAAGGTTTGGAACCTGCAGTACAGGTGACTGTCATCGACATCTTTTCATAAAAAGCCTTTCTTTAGGATTTTTCCCCCTTCTGAGAAGCTGTGGCCTCAGCAACAAAATGTAAACAATGGTTATCTGCTGCTGTGGAATGCAGCAGGTGGATGCGTGATTGGTCTCCTGTCGATGTTTGGATTTACTGACCACTCACGGCAGAGCTGTGTCTCACTCTCTGCTGAGACACAGCCTTTTGTTTATTCATTCTTTTTCTATTTTTAGCTTAGCTAGCTTCTGAGAATTTTCCTTCTCTTTCTTTTAGTATAATACTAATGTAATATATATCATAAAATAATAAATCAAGCCTTCTGAACATGAGGTCAAGTTTCTCGTCTCTCTCTTCACCCTGAAGACCCTTGCAAGCCCTGTAACAGGTGACCAACTGGCAGTCATGGCAACTTTCCTAAATAAATTCACTGTAACTGTTATGCCCTCCCTCGACCTCAGGAACCTTAAGAAAGGAGACTCCAGCCTGTACAGCTCTCAGAAACCAGTTGATTTCTCCTGTGACCACACACAGAGCTTCTGTGTTGCGGTTCCCCTGACCTGATCTCTCCTGCTGATTCACCTCACACAGACCCTGTATCATAGCTTCTGGAGCATTCTGTGGTTTTCCTCTGAGGTGGAGGATCTTTGCCTCTTCTACATCAAAACCATTCAGATTCACTGCCCAGGCTTTCTGTTGCTCCTACAGAGACAAATCACCCTCAGTGCAATGCATTTAAAACAATTCCCACACTGCAATTTAAACAGGCACCTAAGTCCCCTTCTCTTAGAATCTGAAGATGTTTGACTGTGCTGCAAGAGTCAGTCACACAGAGGCAGGTCAAAGCAGTTTTTCCTCAGACTTTCATACGTCGTCCTGCTCACATTTTCACACAATGGCAAATTCAGTGTCATTGCCAGTAGGAAAAGCCACAGCCACAAAGCAACCAAATACTCCATAAACAGATTTCAGAACACAGTGTAAAACATTCCAGAAGTGTTCCCTGTGGTGACATTGTCCTAGAATAGCTGCCACCAGCAGTTTCACTTTGCATAGGCTCACAGCTTTGTGTTTTTGTTGCCTGCTACATTTTAAAGCCTCATTAGTCAAAAGCTAAATTTTGCTACCAGAAGCAGCATAGGCTTGGAGTGCATGGCAGTCTCTACAGCTTCAATCTCATCCTAGGCTCCTGAAGCCCAGAACTGCAAGTAGTGATGGCTGGGACTTGTCAGTCCCGTGTGCCCACTTGATAGAACCTATAGTTTACTGCTCTGTAAAGGGGCAGGAAGGAGTAGCAGTTGTTGAAGTAATTGTAACTTAGCAACATGCTCACCTTCTTGGTAGGGGAATCCTCAGCAGGGTCATTCTCTTTGGCTAGGAGGAAATTTACCATCTCCATCTGCATAGTGCTGCGGCTGGGAATGTAGCGATCTCCCCCAGCCTTTGTGGGGTAGCTTTGAATTCTGGATCCAGATTTACCTGCATTCACATATGAAAATATTGTCTTACAGCTATTTAACAGCCTGTATTAGAGCTTTCACAGGAGCAAACCCAACACTCTTCCACATCACACCCACCAGACAAGTAGGACTCTGAGGTCTCATGCCACCCAGTCACAACTTATATTTTCCTCCCTGACACCAAGTTGGTTGGGGACTGTGTGGTGCAACTCCTTGGGTCTAGTGCAACAATTCCAGAGTCCAGAGATAAGGGGAAGATACAAAAACGCTCACAGGATGTAAAGCTGTCAGCTGACAGTCCCGCCTACACTCGTCCTAGCATACAGCTGTGCCAGCAAGGCTCAGCTGGGCGAACAGCAGCTCGCCAGCCCCAGTGCTCAGAGCTCTGCCCCTCATGCTGGCAAGGAGGTGGGTGGCTGTCAGGAGCACAGCCCACCTCATCCTGCCTGAGCAGCAGCCGGTAGGGCAGCGTGGCAGGGAGCCCAGAGCCCCATGGCTGCGGACAAGCAGCCTGAGCGAGGCTTCCGCACTCAACCTCTGCCGCTGGTGGCCGGCGCTCACCGGGTGTCTTGGACGGCGTCTTGCTGGAGCTGTGGGAGCGATTGGCCGGCTTCATGGGCGACACGCCGACGGGACTTAGCCCGGGGCCGCTCTCCTTGGCTTTGCGTTGCCATCGCGCAGGCGGCGCGTTCGGGATCAGCGTGTCCAGCTTCAGCAGCCCGTGCACGTCCGCCTCGAACAGGAACTGCGCCATGGTCCTGCGGGCGGGCGGCGTTAGCCGTGCCCACCGGCCGGGCTGAGCCTACTCCGACAGGCCCCGCCGGCCTCCCCACCACCGGACTGTGCAACCGCTCCGGCCGCTCCTCCTCACCAACAGACACCCCCACTCTCCCCAGCCGCTCCTTGGGACACTCCATCAGCCGATACGCCCTCCCTCCGCTCCTCGGGGGTCCTTGATCAGCCGGCATCCCTTCCAGCCGCTCTTTGGGGCTCCCTCCGATAAGCGACATTCTCCCTTCCCCTGCCCGCCTCACCACAGCCTCCCCGCTCGGGACTGCGCCTCCAGGCCGCCTCTCCGTCCCTGTGGCACACTCACCTCCGCGGCGCCGCCGCCGCTCGCCCGCCCCACAGCATTTTAAACGGCGGGCGGACGGGGCCCCACTGGCCGCTTCACACCCAACGGCTGCGCGCTGCCCGGCGACGGCCGCGCGACGCAACGCGATTGGCTGAGCCGCGGGACGGGGCAGGGCGCTCCGCGCGTGCAGTGAGGGGGCGGGACCAGGGGCGGGACCAGGGCGGGACCGGGGGCGGAACCAGGGCGGGGCGTTCTTGCTGGGGCGGGGCGATCCGGGCCGGGGGCGGGGCGGCGCAGGAGGGACCAGGCGGGCGCTCGGGGGCAGCAGGAGTTTATGGCGGGGTGCAGGCGGTCGTGGCTGCCCGCGGCTCCCAGCCACTCATGAGCAGGTAGGACTGGCTGGCGATGTCGGTGCTGGACAGGCGGCCCCCGGCGTGCTCCGGCGGCGGGCCCGCCTCACGCCGCGGACCAGGCAGCACCTCCAGCAGGCAGGGCAGGACGGCCTCCTCCGGCGGCTGCTTGTTGAAGGCGCTGGCCTGGGGGGAAGCACGGAGTGGACGGGGTAGGGGCTGCCCTTCGAGCTGCCCCCGGGAGCAGCTGAGCCGCCCTGCCCATCCACTCACCTGGCCGTGCTTGCTGCTTTCCTGGAGGAAGCTGCCCAGAGCATGGTGCAGGTCAGAAACGGGCGGCCAGAGTTTCTGCTTCACATTGCTGGGTACGGAGGAAGGGGCATCGAATTTACCCTCAGACTTGAGGTGCCCTAATGCCCCGTGCAAGGTGCCCAGGCTTGGTGCTGGACCTCCCCGCCTGCCCCCGGTACAGCCCTTTATCTGTAGAGGGAGGGGAAGGTGCAGCGCAGCCCCAGGAGCACTGCTGAGAAGAGCAGCGGCACCACTGTAACACTGGGGATGAGCCAGCCTGCATCGGTGGACGAACGCCGGAACTGTAGCCCTTCCCAGACCCACCATCTCTGAGCCCCTCGCAGCCCCCTGCCCCGTGCTCCCTTCCCCATTTCCAGCACTCTCCGCCTCTTGCCGTCAGCCGTGTGGCTCCTGCGGCCGCAGCCTCCAGCCCTGCCCCTTACCTGCATTGGCCACGGCATCAACCACAACGGGTTTGGACCCGGCGCTCCAGCTGCCCCGGTACCACGGCCCGCTGGGCTGGGCCCGCACCTGCGCAGGGTAGCGGGAGCCTGGCCGCAGGTCCAGGACCTCTTTCCTCGCTGCTCGGGGAACCTGCAGGACCTGCGCGGCAGAACCGAGCTGGAGCATGGCTGCTGTGGGCTGGCACCAAGGGGCGGGTCCCGCTTGGCCCGACCCCGCACCTGCCACGTGTCAGCAGCGGAGGGGGGCAGCGCTGCTCGGGGTATCCTGGGCAGGCCTTACCTTCCAGTCATGGCTGTTCTCCATGGCATAGCGGACCTGGTAGTCCAGCTGCTCTGCCAGCAGCTCCAGGGGCGGCAGCCACTGCAGGCTCAGCCGGCCCAGCGACACTGTTGCCTGCACAAGCTGTGGGGCATCTGTGAGCACTGCTGGTGTTGGGGATAGGCATTTGTCGCTCCTGTGAAACGGGACACGGGACACTGTGTCCCCTGTGAGCCAGGCAGGGGCTGTGGTGGCACTGGGACTCACCGGCCTGGTGCAGCCAAAAGGGCTCCTTGAAGTAGCTGAGTGTGGGCAGCATGTGGGTCCTGGTGACATTCACCAGGACAGAGATGGCACTGCCAGCCTTGGGCTGGAAGGTGCAGGCATAGATGCCCTGTGCCCCCCTGCTCACCTCCTCGCACTGTTGCCATGCATCTCCCCTGTAGGAGGAATTTAGGAAATACAGGGATCAACTTTTAAGGATTATGGAACATAGATAGCTTAGATAATAAAAGATTGTTTAGCTTAGAATAGAGTGTTGTTAATTTAGGGAAGCTTTTAAGTAGAAATGAAAGAACTGTCATAATAAGAATGAAGCTGTGAGAGGAAAAGCTGGGCTGCAGCCCAACTGGAGCCTGCAGGCGCTCCAAGCTGTCAGCGTGAACAGGCCACCTGCAGGACAGAAGGATGAAGATGGAGAAGTAGTGAGGGGATACTTTGTTTCAGCCCGAGTGCCAATAAAAGTCTAAAATATCCAGAGTGTTGTAAGACTTCCTTCCTTGCCAGGCTGTAGCTGAGTGGACAGTCCCTTTCAGAGGCCCAAAGAACATAGTGAGGTAAGCAGCTTTGCTTACCTGAAGTGTGGAATGTTATAGGTAAAAGTTAAATTAAGTTAAAATAGGATATAGTTCAATTATATTGTATTAATTATGTTATATTATTTGTATTATGTTAAAGGAGGGGGGCTTATAAGAATGTGCTAGAAGGGTCCAGGGTTTGGTGAAACAGGGGTCTGATGGGGCAAGGAAAGGTCGAAGAGAGATTGGATGAAAGATCTGACCAATCATTCGAAGCCCTGCAGAAACGATTGGTCCAGAATGAGCAGCGGTAAAGACCAATGAGAAGCCTGGAAGTGGACCAATCATCATGAGGATCCAAAATGCACCAATCCTGGACTCAAGGGGAGTATAAATGTGGGGAGTTCATTTGGGTTAGGGTTCTTCTTCTTTTAGGGTACTTGTTGTTTGGGAGAACCCAGTGCACTTGGGGTGAGCGCACTATTTTCGTTTTTGGCTCGCTGTGTGAGTTCCTGGGCTTATCCTGGGCACTCCGTTCCTTGTAGCTATTTTAATAAACGAGAACCTCTTTCTCTGGAGAAAGTTTGGCCTCGTTCATATCCGTAACATGGAATGCCCGTGGGAAGCTGTGAGGCTTCCGGGTAATGAATGCCAGGAGATGAGCTCACATTCAGGACAACACTAGGAGGCAGATGTGAAGTCCTTTCTGGGCCTCTTGTCTTGAAGATGTCAGGGTGATCAGCAGCAATCACCATTTGGTTCCCACCCTCCTCTCACTATGTCACCTGTGGTATGGAATTGCATTCTCACAGCAGCATCTGGCCCTTCCTCCCTGTTTCTCTTTTCCCCACTTTTCAGCCCAGAGCCCCAGAGCTCATCTGGGCCAGCTTCATCCCCCACTGGTGTATGCAACCACCAGGGCCTCCTGCAGAGCCCCATTCCCACTCTGCTGCCTCCTTGGCCTTTTCCCACATCTGGGCCAGCCTGCTGTTGCCAGCTGTTGGGCATACACCCACAGCATATCACACCTGTCAGGGAGCAATTTAATGGAGGAGCCCCTGCTAACCACGGCTCACCAGCCCGGCACTTTTCCCACCCAGCTGGGGCTCCATTTGGACTCCATCTGCTGGGATAGCCACTGTGAGGGACTGCTCAGGGCCTGGATGCTCCTTGAATGGTGCCCACGGGCCTGATTTCCACGCCTCCCCATTCCTCCTACCCCTAAGGCTGCCTCAGCCTTCTAAACACAATTTTTCTTACTCTAATGGCTTCCTGTGCTTTACTTCATACTGTAAGCAGGAGTACACAGTTTGGATTGTCTTTATTGTAGAATTAATAAAAAGAAGTTGAAAGTGCTGCTAGAGTTTGTCATTTCAAACTTGAAGCAGCTGCAAAAAGTAGAGAAGCTTTCTGTGCAGCTTTTCAGTGAATTTGAAGTCTCCTTCCCCTTCACTCAGTTTCAGCATATCTGTTGATTTTCCTTTGCTGTCATCTTTTAAGCTTTATCACTTGTCTGTCGATCTGTAAAAAACCCTGTAAACCCAACACAAATTTACTATCCTTTGTATTTTTGTATTTTTCCTCTTCTGGAAAAGCTGAGACTCCTGTGATCTTCTCCTGTGATCTAGACTTTGATTCCCACCTTGGCTCTGGCTAAGAACAGAACAAATGGAATTTATTACCTGCTAGTAAGATCTGCTAGCAAAGATCGCAGTTAGAACTAAGCATGATGCTTCTCTCCCTCTGTTGAATACACATCTTTGTGTCTAAGCCTGGGGATTTCCAGGAGCACCTGGGAACTACTGCCAAGGACAAAAGTCTCACTCTTGCTGGTTTGGACATGGATGTTTGGTAGGATTTTGATCTACATCTTCAGTGACCTACAGGAACTGGATCTTTGACACAAAGTGCCTTCAAGCAACATTTCTAAGTATAGTGGGCAATGAAGTCCAGATACTAATGAGTTGTGGTTTGCTTGAACTCTGTGTAACATACGGTACAATATCCCAAAACATGTTATTTTTGAGTGTTTCAGGCATTTAAAACTCAGGCTTATTCTTGTCAACGCTTTTCTTTCCTCCCTTCAGAAATCTGCATGCCCAGGTACTAATTTCTTTCTCAGTTTGTTGACAAGTTACCACTCAGACAATATTTGTTTCTTGACCCAGAGATGGGGCAACTGTCACCATTAGGCCGGACGTGACATACACACGTGATCAGGGTGCAAGAAGAAAAAGGGTTTTTTTATTCTGCGTGTTCTCCCGCTTATACACTCTTACCAAAGCGTGATCTTAAGTCCGCCGCTGGCCTTGGCTCACAGGTGGCCATCAAGCGAGTGTCCCGGGAGCGCATCTCGGAGTGGGCGCGGCTGGTGAGTGAGTGGGGCCAGCGGGAGGAGCCGGCGGGGCGTGCCGGGCGGGGCTGAGGCGAGGCCCAGCAGGGCGGCAGCCGGAACGCTGTGAGGGCAGCGACCGTGGAGTGAGCGGGGACCGCGCAGTGCCCCGGGCCAGGCCATGGGAAGCCGCGGCAGGGCCGGGCAGGGGCTGCCCGAGGCACGGCGCAGCATCGGCCCCGCTGGCGGCATCGCGGTCCCCCCCGTGCCACTGGCCACTATATACATTCATGAATGAGATGGGGCATCCGAACCAGTGTCGTGAGCTATTTATTCAACACATCAGTCTCAGTACATTGTTAGGACAATGGAGACAGATTATGTTAACAGCTCTCTGATCCAAAGGAAATGCCAAGGGGGTGTTACATTACAGCACAGCATAAAGCCATCTCAGCCTAGGTTTCAGCTAATGACACATAGAGCAAAACATATTGACAAAAATTCTATCCAATCATATGAAACACACGTAATGGTAGTTAACACAATAGCTCATTCATGAGAGACAAAGCACAGAGACTCATTCATACTAACCTTCTAAAGATATCCATTAAATAACCTTGTTGCAATCTATAAAGACAGATTACAGAAGTCTATTGTGCTATTTCTCACGTCTGCTCTACTGCTTAGAAAACTTTTTGCTGTATTAGCAATGTTCACAATTCTACTGTCAAAAGCCTGCCTTTTTAACCACTTTTCTAAAAACCCTCTAATTTTATGAATCCCAGCACCCCCGCAGCGCAAGGGCGCCGTTTTGCCCCTGGAACCGGCGCTGCTGTGGAAGGTGTTGCAGCCTGGCTTCCGCGGCATCGTGCAGCTCCTGGACCAGTTCGAGGTGCCCGAGGGCTTCGTGCTGCTCATGGAGCGTCCGCAGCGCTGTCAGGACCTCTGGTACTTCCTGCACAAGCGGCGGTTCCTGACAGAGCCCGTCGCGTGGGGTCTGCTCCGCCAGGTGCCAGAGGCCGTGTGGCGCTGCAGCAGGTGTGGCGTCCTGCACTGCCACATCAAGGCTGAGAACCTCCTCGTCACCTGGCTACAGGTGAGGCAAAGCTCATCAACTTTGGCTGCAGCACGATCCTCCAGGACACGTTCTACACCCGGATGTCAGGTGAGCCCAAAGCCCCAGCCGGGCAGCAGAGGTTCCCCCTTTGCTGGAAGAGGGAGGGAAGGAGGGAGGGAAGGAGGGGGAATCCTTCTTCAGCCAGCTGCAGCCAAGTTGCTTTTTGGCAGGGCAGGGGCTGGCTATTGTCGAACGGGAGCTGGCTGGGAGGGAGGGAGCAGCATGGGCCTGATGAGCTGCCCCCGTGTCCCATAGGAACGCCGGAGTACAGCCCACCGGAGTGGATCCTTTTTGGCTGCTCCCATGGCCAGCCAGCCACCATCTGGCCCCTGGGTATCCTGCTCTATGAGCTGGTCTGAGGGCACCTTCCTTTCCCCACCAACGAGGACATTGTCCGGGGCCAGCTCTTCTTCCCGCCACGGGTGTCTCAAGGTGGGGATGTGCCTTCAAGGCACGAGGGGAAGAACGGGGTTGGGAGGGGCAGCTGGCACATAAGTGTCCTGCTCTTGCAGCTGGTGAGGAGGTGGATCTCATGGGCTTAGCTGGAGGAGATGGCACCTGTGCCTCTGTGCTGGTGTCCTCCGCAAGAGAGGATCGATAGGAAGCTTTTGGGTGCAGCTCTGAGCACTCCTGGTGTGTCCTGGGCACTGTGGAATGTGGGAGAGCATGGACAGGAGCCTTGTCCCACTGAGCGGCGGTTTCTGGTTTCTCTCCGCAGAGGGCCAGCACCTCATCAGGGGGTGTTTCTGCATGGGCCTCACAGACAGGCCATCACTGGAGGACCTTTTTGAGCATTCTTGGCTGCAGGAGCCCTGCCTGTACCAGGAGACAGCAGAGATGCACCCTGTGCACAGTAGGATCCAGGAGCCCAGCAAGTAGCAGCGGCACATGACTCATGGCGCTGGAAGAAAACCCCGGAGCGTTTCCCTGCAGCCGCGGCGCGGAGGAGAGAGTGCAGCCAAGGAGATGCTTCCGCTGGTCCCCATGAGCTGTGGAGGGAACTGCTCCATGCTGCCTGTCCCATTGGAGAAGTGGTGGCAGTGCGGTGAAGGTGCCACGGACTGGGACAGGGGAAACGTCCCCCTGCAGCTCAATGGCATCGTGATGTCCCCGCAAGCTGAGGCACAGCTGGCGTGTTCTTCTAGAGCAGGACGTGGAGCTGGGAACACCATCCTGGAGCTGGGAACACCATCCTGGAGCTGTCCGCTGGCGGGGCAGAGCCCATTGGCTTTGGCTGCGGCCCCTGCCTGGAGGACATGCTTTGCACCCCGATGCAATCAAGATGAGTCCCCAGCCGGCGCAGGGGCGGGGGGATGCTGGTGCTTCCAGGCAGGGCAGGGCTCGGCCTGGCCACATGCCGGAGGTTCCCTGCTTGGCGGCGCTGGGGAATATTAATTTTCCCGCCGGCAGCCAAGCTGCTTTTTGGCGGGACACGGGACCAATATTGTGGAAGGGGAGCCGGCTCCTGGCCTTGTTGACAGCTTCTGCCAGCCAGCCTGGCACGGGCTGAGGCAAGGGCAGCCAGCCTGACAGGAGCATCCATCCATGTGGATGGGGGGCGGCACAGGGGGACGGGTTCCGAAGCCGTGCCCCAGCTGGCGCCTGCTCTGCAGGCCCTTGAGGAGGGGGTGCCTTTATGGGTGGGAAAGGTGGGGATTTTCCCCACCCGTGGACAGATTTAATTCTCCCATGGAGTGGTCAGACCACTCAGGCCCGTGAAACAGGCTTTGTACTTTTTCTTGTTTCCAGATCTCGTTTTGAATTGACTTCCATGCAATTGTTCTTTGTTTTTCCCAGGAGGATTACACCTGGTGCCCAGATGGGGAAGCACCTGCAGCGTCTGTGGAGCGCGTCCAGTGCTAGCGCTGCCCCAGGGGCCACGGTCTGCGGGGACAGCCCCTTCCAGAAGGACGAGGACCTGGTGCGGGATGGGCTCCTCCCCTGGCAGCAGCTCTCCAGAGGTGGGCACCCGGCTCCACAGCTGGGCTGGCAGAAGGGATCCGGGCAGGCGGCAGCGGGCACACGGGCATCCCGCTCCTGCAGCTGCTGAGGAGGTTGCTGTGCCGTGATTAAGCAGAGGAGGTGGAATGTGGCCTGCCCCGCTGCCCTTCTCTAAAAACAGAGAATGGGTCGGGAGGTTTGGGCTCTGAGCACAGCCAGCAGCCTGGCCCAGGCACAGCCATGATGGGACAGGGGCACAGGAGCCTGCTGCGACTGACCGTGGCTCTCTGGTTTCTCTCCGCAGGCTGCCAGCACCTCATGCCATGGGAACGGCCCCGCTCAGCCTGCCAGGCTGGGAGGGCTGGAGGGCAGCCGGTGTTCATTTGCTGTCAAAAATAAATTGGGATTTTTTTGTCATCGTCATCCTCAGAGCATTTCTTTCATCCTTTTCCAAGCTTTGGCCTCCTGTGATAAATGGATGTGATTAGTTCTAACAAAATTGTAATTATTTCAATATTTTTGGAAAATAATTGGAAAGGTATATGTGATTAATGTTATGAAACAAATGAGCTTCTTTGTAGATGATACCTGTGGGAAACAGGATACAGGAGATTGGAATGGCCTTGATGAGCAAAATTTAGGAAGCCTTCCAAGTCAGAATTGGCATCAAGACAAAGTTAAGACAACTCCTAGGACAGGATTGGCCGTGACATGAATAACGCTGGGACAATTCCAGACAGAGAGTCTAAAATAGTGCTCTTGTCTATAAAATAATGAGGCTTAATTGGAGCATAGTGCTCACTTACATAACACAGGATTT